TAGGCCAACCGGTATCCAAGAAAGGCTCCTTTCTGTGATGCTTCTTACAAGTATCTTTGCTTCCATTTACTCCTCTACTGGATTTCTCCCCCACTTCCACACACGGCCTTCGTGATAACTACATAGGTGTCTCAGACTGCTATTACCAAATATTGGCCAACAGTTGACACCAATACATGAAGGGGATATTGTGGAATGTTTGAATGGAATAAACCTCTTCAAACAGAAACTGAATATAATTTGCTTTTAGGAATATAGTCGATTGTTTTAGACCTGGATTTATTAGGAAAATTCCTGTTTAAATGTCTGTACGCATTTAATTTCAGGGATTTAAGACCTCTGTGTTAGAGTTTATAGTTACATATAATAAAATTATTTTATTTTAAGATAGGTTTTACCTCTGGCATTTATCCATTATATGTACACAGGTACCAGATGGTATATGCACATGTAATAGCAATGAGAAGCTTCTGTGTGTATATATATTTTAAAATATGAACTCTATAGTTTTTTTATGTTGTTGGCTATAAAACTTGGATTTATAAACTATATGTACACAAAATTTCTCATTTTTGCCCTTAAGGAGCTTATATTCTATCTATTTTTATTTATCTTTTAAATTAATTTATTTAGCTCTCCATTTGTGTCTGTCTGTTCAGATATGGGGTTTCCTTTGTATGGGGAGCTTCTGGAGAAGACTCTCTTTAGGAGTATAGATTGGCAACTATACTGCATTTTATTCAATTAAGCCAGTATTTGTGAAGTGTCTGCTTTGGGCCAGCCACCATGCTAAGTGCTGGGGATCGAAAGACAAAAACAAAACTGTCTCTACCCGCAAGGAGCTTACATTTTTTTATTTTTTAGGCAGTTGGGGATAAGTACTTGCCCAGGATCACACAACTAGTGTCAAGTGTTTGGTCTGAGGCTGGATTTGAACTCAGGTCCTCCTGACTTCAGAGCCGGTGCTCTATCCACTGCGCCACCTAGCTGCCCCTGGAGCTTACATTTTAAAGCCATTAATGACTGTGGGCCGATCTGCTAGGGTGAGAGCCTGGGCCCTTCCTTAACTTTCACTTTTAGAGAGTTTCATGTGGCATTGAATGGTTAAGAGACTTGCCCAGAGTCATCTAGCCTGTATGAGAACTTGAATCCGGGCCTTCCCGACTCTGAAGTTATTAGACTTGATAAAATAATATCCAACTGTATTTTAAAAAGGTCCATTCTTCGTTAAAGATATTTATTATTTATTATGTAAGTAATTAAAAGTTACATGATCTCAGCACTGATGTAGAGCGTAGCCATTCCATGCCTTGGTAGTCTGTCGAATTGTTTTGGCCAAAATTTTCACTACTCGGTGGTTAATCTTTTGGCCTCTTCTAATTCAGCCTAGACGCAGGCTATCACAAGGCCCTGCTTGAAACCTTTCAAACTTGACCAATTTGATTTTCTCATTTCACAGAATTGTTCTGATTTTTCATTCTTAATCATAGTTTTACTATACACGTAAATTGCAAAGTGCCAAGTTGGCAGACTTACTTCTGCTGGTCAAGCATTAATTTTTAGAAGGTAGTAAAAATATTTTGTTTTGGAAGGGAGAGGCTTTAAAGAAAACATTTTTTATAGTAAATTATTTTTGTGTGTGAAAAATATTTACAAAGGTCATTCCATCCTGAATAGAGGAATGAACACCTTTGACTATACTTAAGCTAATATTAGTTCTCTACCTTTTAAATCTACTTTACTTTTTAGAGATTGGTTTTGATCTTGAGATTGAGGTTTAATGTAGGGTGTACCTGCTGGGGAGAGATGGGGAGGGATCAGCTCCTCTGCAGAGATCTTAGGTGGCTCTGTATCTGGAAGACTCCCAGAAGGCTGCTATTTTGCTGAGGCTTCCAGAAGCTGAGCTAAACCCGGGCAAATCTGGTGGGAAGGAGGTCCTGTTTACTTTTGTAGGCCGTCTTCTGCTTTTCAGTCTAATAAACCCTAGATATCTAGTGCTCTTATGTTATTCTCTCACTGCCCAGAGTCTCTTGTAGCATGCCATCTAGGTCTACAGGATTATTCTGGGCGTTATTCTGTGCCTGTTGCAAAGCAAAAATTATATGTTTTCTGCCATATTCTGTTCTGATGCACCTAGGTTGTGTAGTGGATAGAGTGTTGGATTTGGACTTAAAAAGACCTAAGTTTGAATCCTGCCTTAGATACTCAAGTGTGTCATCTTGGGCAAGTCACTTAATTTCTCTGTCTCACTTTCATTTTCTGTAAAATGATGATAATAATAGCATCTACCTTTCAGATGGTGCAAGAATCAAATTTCATGATATATTTAAAACACTTTCAAACCTTGTAAGGCTATATAAATGTTAACTATTGTTACTCATGCTGAATTTGGAATTATAGCACTTGGGTGCACATTTTGGCCATATTACTACTCATTTTCTTATCTGTAAGATGAAAAAGTTGTGGTAGGTATCCTCTAAGGTTACTTAAAATTCTAAGTCGTGTGATTTTAGTCTAAGGTGTAAAGAGCACCTTATTTGGAGGTACCCCGAATAAATGAAAATATATTTGACTTCCTTGCTCTCCCCACTGAAACGATGACCTTGATTTTGTTTCTTCCAATCCAAAGGAGTGACTTTAATGGTGGAAATTTCAGATCTGGGTTGGAGAAGGTCATGTCAGGTATTTTGGGGTATAGGTACAGCATTTCCCCAACCATGCTATGTAGGCAGCCATTGATGCAAATGACTTGCCCTAAAGCCTAGAGCTTTAAGATGGATTAATGGGCCATGTAGGGGAATCTGGATAAAATCAGATATGGTTTTATAGTTGGAAGGATGAGCTAGTCAATTAGCAACATCTGTTTGGTGCCACCATGTAGGCTCTCTACTGTCTCACTCATCTCAGTGTATTTGGTGTTGTGGTTGAAGTGATGTCCATGGCCAGCATCATCCTATTTCACTGGAGCCTTGCTTAGGTAGGTAGTCATGGTGGAAAAGGCCAACCACCATTTTGCTATTACAGTACTATTTTTCAAACCTCCTTCTGTTTAGTTTAATTCCAGCTGTTGAAGCATTTGTAGTCTAAGACAGTATTACCATCCTAAAAACCCTTATAGTTTTTTGGGATTTCCCAGTTTGAGATATGGAGACTGGCAGGAGAGTCCTGACAAACACAGCCAGAGAGTTCACATTTAGCATAACTGTTTGTTATTTAGTAAATGTTTTTGACTCACTGAGAGGAGAGGTCCTCAGCAAACTGTAAAAGCAGTGCTCAGATAGTCCTTTGAGAACTCTGCATGGGTGTTAAGGGAGCCATTGGTAGTAGTGCACTATTCATTCTTGGTCAAATTTCCCCTGTCTTCAGTGAGAGTGTGGGCTTGGGAAGGGACAAAGTCAGAATGGGCATGGGTAGAGAGACAGACACCAAAAAAAGTATGTCTAGGCATCAGCAGAAGGAAAAGTAAAGGTAGAGCTAGTTTGAGTAGGAATTGAAGTGTTAGTGAATTATTGTCATCGTATTATATTTTTCACTTGGGCCTCAAAATAACTAGCATTTATGTGGTGCTTTAAAGTTTTTAAAGCATTTCATATATGTAAAGGATCTTACTTGATCTGTACAACAACTCTGGGAGGTAGGTGTTATTATTATCCCCATTTTACAGAAGAGGAGACTGAAGTTGAGAGGATTTAAATGATTTGTCTATAGTCACACAGCTTCAAGAGTTTTCTTACCTCTTATAACTGTGCTTTGAAATAACTAGCCTCTTAGCCACATTTCTAGCTCTTTACCTGTTCTTTATCCTCAAACCTTCAAAGGCCCAGCTCTGAATGTAGCCGTTAAGGAATTCATTAGGAGTAATACAAATAGTATTGCCTCATGGTTGGGATGAAATAAAGTTAAGGGTTTGGAGTTCCCCTGCTCCTCCATTCCTTAGTTGGTAGAATATTGTTAAGAATAAAAATTTGTGTTTTTAATATAACTAAAACACACTCAAAAACTTTCAAGAAAGTTGCAGAGGAATTTATTGTCCATTTTAGTAAAAGTCACAGAATCAAATCTTAAAAGGAACCCAAAGGCATTAGCTGGCCCAGGCTTCTATATTCAGGCTCTTTGCAGATGAACTGAAGGGGTTTGGTGGAGGTGATGTAATTAGGAAGGGATGAAATGGGCACTAGAACAGAAGTCTCTTACCTTTTAGTATGGTGCTCTTTCCACTGACTGCCACTATTTTTAAAGGCTTTGCATTATTCAGTGAAGATTCTTTTAAAGAGCAATTGATGTCCCATTGAATCCACTCTCTTAAATCACCATTAAGACCCTGTTGTGAAATGGTATTGGACAAGGGTCTCATGGCAGAGGCCAGAAGATAGGTATGTAGTGAAGTTAAAGGAGGAATCTCTTGCCCCATAAAAGATAGATATTATGTAGCTGTCATTTTTAAGTGAAGTTGTTTATGGTTAAGGCAATGGGTTTTAAAAAGAAAGAAAAAAACAAACATTTTTCTGAGCATATGCTGTTGTCAGAAGAGATGAAAAAAATTGAGCCCCTTTCCTGAAGACAATCCACCCCACCCCCCTCTCACCCCCCCCCCCCCCCGATCAAAAAACAGTTGGTAATAGTTGTTGCTGACTGAATACTAGGTCGAGGAAGCATGGGATAGGGGTAAAGCAGTGTGATGTAGTACGTAGAGTTCTGAATCAGGAATTAGGAAGACCTGGATTTGAATGTCATCCTAGACTTTCTAGCTGTGTGATCCTGAGCAAGTCTCTTAACCTCTCTAGGCTTCAGTTTTCATATCTGTAAAATGTAGAGGTTGGACTGGATAACCTCTGTGGGCTCTTCTATCTCTTAATCTAATGATTCTCTGATATGGTGAAGTTTTCTTATTAGCATTTCTTTCAGGAGTGAGTTAGAAGAAGAGTACTTAAGTAGTGTGCTTATGAGATAAGAGGTCCTGGATGAATAATTATCCACTTGAATTGCACTTTCTCTTCTAGACACTATAAGAAGCGATGTCAAGGGCGGATGCGGAAACATGTTGGTGACTTATGCCTTCAGGCAGGGATGCTACAAGATTCCTTGGTTCATTACCACATGTCTGTGGAGCTTCTGCGGTCAGTGAATGACTTTTTATGGCTTGGAGGTAAGATTATTTGATGAAGTTCTATTGGAATGATAGCCTTTCTTTGTCATTTGGAATTCTTTTGATTTCAGCAACATTTAACTCTATCTTTTATGAAAAAAGACTGTGTTAGGTGTTGTGGGAGAATGAAGAACCACACATTCAACAGACCTCATGCCTCCTATGTGCTGAATGCAGTGCTGGGCTCTTGGACTGGTAAATACAAGGTTAGATGAGAAGGTTCTTGATGTCTGTACTTTCTGCTCTGCTAGAGAATGGAACACTTACATAAGTATAAGATACAATGCATTAAGAACCTGTGATTTAATTGGTATTAGTACTACTTCCATCAGTGCAGATCATAATCCTTCCATTGCTGAGTAGGTGGTCTTTGAGATTTTCTATGGCCAAAAAATTCATTACCCTCTGACCAACTTGGTGGTTAAGTTTCTCTAGACTTAGTTCTGCTGGTTCTTGGAAAAGAGATATAAAATTCATCTCTAGACCTATATTTAAATAACCTGATATCACCTGCCCAGGCCTGTACCTTGCTGGCATAGGCTTTGGAAATATGGGATCATTTCCATGTCACAGTGAGGTATTGAAGGAGGGCTTCATAAATGCAGTGGACAAATGTAAAACAAAATGCATTTTGAGGTCTGAGGCAGGACAGGGGCAGTATGTAGAGTAGAGAAGTTTATTATTGATCCAGAGGAATAAGATTCCAAGAGATTTAAGGATGAATAAAACATAGGCCCTGCCCTGAAGGAGCTTAGCATCTGGTAGAAGAAATGTTATGCTGTATTTTTTATATTGTAATACAAAATGTGAGATACTAGCTTGTATTTATTTATGAGGTGCCCAGAACCTAACATAGTCTGGATAGAGCAGAGACAGAGGGTCTGTCACCTCCTTGTTCCCAGAAGTATTTCTCTTAATGTTCCATTAGCTTTTTCTTATGGTTGTACCTATCCTGCTACTGATTCATATTGAGCTTGGAATCATTAAGCCCCTACTCCCTCAGTTTTGTACTTATGAAATTGATTTTTTTGCCTGAGTGTAAAACTTTATTTTTATTTCTAATGTATTTCATTTTATTAGATTCAGCCCAGTGCTCTAGCCTGCCAAGATCTTTTTGGATTTAGACTTTTCATGCAGTGTGTTAGACTTCAACCAAGTCATTGGTAAAATGTTAAATAGTATGTAGCCAAAGCTAAGATACCTGAGGCACTCCACTGGAGACTTCCTGTTGTATTGACGATGAATCATTTATCATCTCTCTTTAATCTAGCCAGTCATTTAGTTCTGAATCCATCTAATTGTAATTTTTATTTCTTATATGGTCATTTTTTCCACAAGAATAGTATGAGATACTTTATCAAAAGCTTGCTAAAATCTAGGTAAAGTATATCTATAACAAACATTCCTCTTATCTACCAGTTTAGTTACTTTAAAAACTGAAATATGATTTATCTGATGTGACCTGTTCTCAATAAAGCCATTCTGGCTTTTGGTAATTACTGTTTCCCTCTGGATATCCCACAGCTTTAATGATTTGTTCTAGAGTTTTTTGGGGAATTGAAGTCAAGCCTATAGTTGCAGATTGTTCTCTTCCTTTTTTTGAAAATTGTGTTTTTTCTTTTCTAATCTTGTGAAACTTCCCTTTTTCCTATGATCTTTCAAATATTATTAACATAGGCTTAGCAGTCCCATCTTTCTGTTCTTTCAGAACCTCAAGATTCACTTAGGCCACAGTAGTTCACTTGTTTAAATGGGTTACAGTTGAATTTGTTAAGGGCTACTAAGTGTTCTCTTACCATCTCCTTACTTAACCTCAGTGTCAACTTCGTATTTGCCATTTTTGTCTATCATTTCCAAGGTAAAAATCATTTTCTCTGATAGACAAAAAAAAAATAAGATTTGAAGACCTCTGCCTTTTCTCTTTTGGCAATCATCATTGTTAGGTCCACTGCAAGCAAAGATAATAGCTTTTCTTTGATACTACTTTTTTTTCTTCCAAATATAGCTAATAACCTTTTTTTCTTTGTCTTTAACTTCTCTTGGCAGTCCTAGCTCTTTTTGAGCCTTATTACTCTTGATAACTGTTTTTATAGTCTTTGGCCTCTCTCACACATATTTTCCGCGTGTTTCTCTCTGTCCTCACACCTTTGCCTACCTTTACATTGAAGTCACTAACTCTCAGAATGTATATTGATTTATTGTAAAGGTCTTATTAAGTTCTTTTTAGAATTTCTCCACTATTTTATTCTTTACAACCAAATTTGGTGCATAATCTGCAATTATTTTTTTTTTCAAATATTAATTAGCACTGTAATGAGTGATTACCAAATATCCTATGGAGTAATATTTCTTGTTGGTTTTAAGAGTAAAATGAAACCCAGTCTGCCACCTCCTTTCTTTATCTCTCCAAGAAGTAAGACATTTTTCTGTTTACCCTCAACTTTTCTCCTTTTGATTTAACTTAGCAATAATGTCAAGATTGATATAATTCAGTTCCTTCACACATATGTCCACTCACTGGACAAGGATCTCACATTTAGCGTACAGTAGCCAAATTAAAGTTTATTGATAGTCTAAAAATGGTTATTCTTAGCAATAGCTGCCACCTTTCCAGTCTTTCTGCCTCTGCCCCTGCAGAAGTAGAAGTGGGTCACACTTGATTAAGGATCGAAGATTGAGGACTGTTTTACATTTTTATTTGTTTCATGGCTTGCCATGGTTAAAAAGTTAATTATCAGGTGTCTATTCTGTTTGTGGGGGCAGCTAGATGGTGCAGTGGGGACACTGGGCTTGGAATCAGGAAGACTCATCTTTCTGAGTTTAAATCTGGCCTCAGACATATACCAGCTGTGTGACCCAGGGCAAATCACTTAACCTCAGTTCTTCATCTGTCAAATGATCTGGAGAAGGAAATGGCAAATCATTCTAGTATCTTTGCCAAGAATACCCCGAATGAGGTAAAGAAGAGTTGGACATGACTGACACAACTGAACGACAACAAGAAGTCTATTGGTGATGTATCTTTCTGTAGTTAGCCATGTTATTCCTCTGAGAACAGGCTTGGTTTATTACCAGGGCCATACAAAGCTTTTTCATGCTGTTAAACCTACCAGAGCCTATCTCTACTGGCATAGCCTTTTAGAACTGGAAAAATGGAAAATGAACAACAGAGATTACATCAATTATAACTTCATCCAGAAGCTAAACTGATGTAAATTAATTCTCACAAAAAGAAGGCCTAAAAAGCCTAGAAAAAGCTTTAGTCAGCAAACATTAGCCTTACAAGAGAAAGATGGATGTCAAAGGCAACACCAGGTAAGCAAAAAAACACATTTGTCAAATAATGTGGAGAAAGATGGTAGAAGATTAATAGCAACATCATCTCACAAATCAGAGAAATAATGGTGGGTAAAACCAGTTTAAAGAAAGCTTGTCATGGTCATCCAAGGTCGTGTCATTCCAGAATCAAAATGAAAGTACTAGAAGTGGAAGAAAAATGGAAATATTTACAAGAATTGTTTTCCAAAAAAATTTTTTTTTTCATCAAAGTCAGTGGAACTACCACATTTGTGCCCTAACATCACATTCTTGGATGTGCTTATAGAAGAAGCAGGATTTAGAACTAAAAAGAAGATGGGAAAAGCAGTTGGATTAGACTAAGTGTAAATAAGAATGATTTGTGCTAGAGGTGGCTCAATTGTGAGGGCATTGAAGGAGCAATATACAAAGTATATGAAGGAGGGAAATAAATGGAAAAAAATCTCATACCTTATTAATACTGAAAAAAGCTTCCAAGAGAACATCAATAACTACAGACCTGTATGCTGACCTTCATAGTTATACAAAATCTGATGGAAGTCATTGTAAAGAAATATATGAATTGAGGGCTTCTTCCCTGAGGGCAGATGGGCTAACTTACCTGAGGTTCTTAAACCCATCAGTGAGCTAGGCGTGCCCCAAGCATGTGAAGACTTCCGGTGGTGGACTGGGCAGATGAGAACAGTTTGTTCCAATGGCCATGCAGGCAGCTGGAGCAGGCACTGTGGAGCGCTCAGAGCTTGTTTAAACATCAAAGACACCAAGATCATCCACTACATTTTGAGCCAGCACTAGTCATCCTGCCACTGCACTTTGATGACTCTTGAAGAGAGAGTGAGGCTGATGACTTCATGCAACTCTGCCTCACTTAAATACAATTTACACATGAATCAAAAGACATCACCCATACCATTTTACCATTTTTTTTTTACCTATTTCAAAGCCCTGTGGCCACAGACAAGTGATGAAGCAGCAGGTATGGATACACTGGGACCTGAGGTCACAACCTTGCACATAGGCAGCCCAGGTGATAGGGTCATCTCACTGAAAGCAGAAGTGGGATTTGGCAGTCCCCTGTGTGTCTGAGCAGCCTTTTAAGGATTACGCTGCTCACTGCCTGATGTGAGGAAGGGGCTAGAAAAGGTGCCCTAAAAATTGTCTGCTTACTTAACACTGGCCTGATTACCGTGGCAGGAGGGGATCCCACCATGTGGTCAAAACACGAACAAAGTACAAAAACTTCTGCAAAGATGGTTTCATTCACCATCAGTACTCAGAATATGTGCACACTTATAGACAACACCAAATCCAGTAGATCTGAAAGACGAACAGCTTTTGTTGTGGGGAGTGCCTTGAAGCTAGTATACGTTTTCTAATCAGAACTAATCTAGTCAGTAAGCTCTTATATGCCTACCAAAAGGAGTGAATGACAGGCTCATAACAATGTGATTGCCACTTGCAGGAAAATGTCATGCCATCATCATCAGTGTGTATGCTTCTACCATGGTGAACCCTGACAAGGTCAAAGAAAAATTTTGTGAAGACCTGGAGACCCTCATCAGTTGTGGCAGAAGAGGACAGGCTTATATAATTCTGGGTGACTATAATGCTGGAGTAGGCTGAGACTACCAGACATGGCAGGGAGTCCTTGGGAGGAATGGAGTTGAAAACAGCAACAGCAGTGATCACTTGCTACAGAAGACTCATGCATCTTATGACCTCATCACCCAACACTGTCTTTCTTTTACCTAAGTGAAGTAAAACTTTATGGAAATACCTTTGCAGCAAACATTGGCATTGAATGGACTATGTGATTGTAAGGAGAAGAGACAGACAGGATGTAAGAGTGACAAAGACAACATGTAGGGCAGAGTGCTGGACTGATCATAGACTTATCCTCTCCAAGCTAAATATTTGCATACAATAAAAGTGGCGGCCCTGAGGCGAAATGACTACTGGGAGAATTAATGTCAGCAGATTAGAGTGCTTCTCTGAGTGGGAACAGTTTGTTGCTAACTTGGAGGGAAAGTTGAACCAATGGGATTAGGTGACTTGCCCAGGGTCACACAGCTAATGGGTGTTAAGTGTCTGAGGCTGGATTTGAGCTCAGGTCCTCCTGACTACAGGGCCAGTGCTGTATCTACTGTGCCACCTAGCTGCCCCCGTACTTTATTTCTTGTAGGGAATCTGTGATGCTTATATTTTAAGCTGTGTCCAGAAGTCTAAATCCCATTCTCAGATACCATATTCTTAGCCCAGTTTTATTTCTCATTTTGGTTTTTTTCTTTTGCCTCCTTTGCCTCAGTGGTCAGCAGTGTTGGAAACATAACCTGTGTCCCTCATGTCTTGAGTTTTTTGTCTGAGACTTCACTTCAAAATCGTATGTGTGTATAAAATTTGGTTTCTTCTGACAGCATCATTGATGCCCACTTGAAACAGTAGAAATGGATAGTTGTCATGTATTTCGATACTTCTCATATGACTGTTATATCTTGGATATTTATTCTTAGAATAAAGTAGATCTCTCAATTGTTACCAGCTTTTTTTTGTTGTTGTTTTTGTTTGCCTGAGCAGGTAATAGCCAACTCAAACTAGTCCTGTCTTTTTTCTCTTTTGAGAAAACATTGCTGTCTTTTTTCTCTGACCTTTACAGAGTGATCTCTCACTTGATAGCTTCTGTGGCTCTACTATAGCATTCTTTGGAGGATAAAACTGCTTCTTCCTCAGAGCACACAGCTTATTCCTCTTCAGGAAGTGTCTCACATCTTTCTTTTTATATGAAATTCTATTTTTTCAATGAACAGAAATCTGTTTTCTCTTTTTTCCACCTTGCACCTTCTCATTCCAAGAAAAATAAAACCCTTTTAACAGATATGCAGTTAAACAAAACAAATTTACATATTGGCCACATACAAAAAATATACATGTATCTCCATCTGCACCTTAAGTCTGTCACCTCTGGAATTATGATTGCTGGTCATTGTGTTGATCAGAGTTCTTTCAAAGTTGTTTGTCTTTACAATGCTGTTGTTACTGTATGATTTATTTTCCTGGTTTTGCTCATTTCACTCTTTATCAATTCTTATAAGTCTTCCTAGATTTTCTCTGAATCTATCCCCTTCATCATTTCTCACTGCACTATAATATTACATTCATATACCATAATTTATTCGTTCATTCCACAGCTGACAGGCACTCCCTTAGTTTTCAGTTCTTTGACACTACAAAAAAGCTACTATAAATATTTTTGTAAATATGGGTCCCTTTCCTTTTCATTTGATTTTTTGGTAAAGATTGACCTAGTAGTGGTTGTCAGATCTTTTTTGGAACTCTGAAGTATGAACTGTCCCTTTTCTTCTCTTTTCTCCTCTATATTAGCACTTATCCAACCTCCAACCTCCTGACAGTGTGAGGTCTCCCCCTTTCCACTTCAGATACCTTCCTTTTCCATTTAAGTCTTCCCATTTTATAAAAGAAGAATGAGGATGAGAGGTAATGTGGATGGAAAGCTGGCCTTGAAGTCAGGTAGACTTGGATTTGAGTCCTGCCTCTAACAAATATTAGCTGTGGACAGAGCACAGCTTTTCAGCTCCCTGCTCAGCTTTTTTAAGATTGTGGTTAAGGATTGGTCACTGAATAACATGGGTAAAGTGAGTTTCCACTCTCAAATTCCTGATATTGATGATATCATAGATCTAGCTTAAGGAAAAAAGATGAGGAATCAGGCACAGAGAGATTATGAGTAACCCTGAGTCACACAAGTAGTACTCAATAGAAGAAGGATTTGAGTCCAGGGCCTCTGTATGCATACCACACTATCTCTGTAAGAGACATTGCATTGTAGTAGACAACTGGAGATGGCCCAGGATGCAGTAGGGGACCTTGGCCTTTTCAAGCTAAGGTCTTTTAACAGGTCTTAGTCTGACTGAGGCAGTACCCATTCAGTGATTAAGGCTTTAAAAATGAGGCAAAGAATGGTCTTCTTAAAAAAAAATTAATTAATACAGGAAAAGACATGGATAATGTCATTGTAGCAGTACCAACAACCAGGAGACATCTATCTGTCTATCTGTCTGTCTATATGTCCGTCTATCTGTCCGTTCATCCATCTGTCTGTCTATCTATCTATCTATCTATCTATCTATCTATCTATCTATCTATCTATCTATCTATCTGTCTTCTTTGTATCACCCATAGCCCCTAGCACAATGAATTTTACATAGTAAGTGCTCAAGAAATAGTGATTCCATTTATTTTTTTTAATGGGGGATTTCTGCTTTGGTAGTGTTGCTTGCGACTAGAGTAGTGATTGAAAAACTGAACATTAGTGTTGTTAAGAGTGATTATAAAGATCTGTTTGGAATTTATATCCCAAATTTCTACTAATCAAATGAGAAGGGGGAGAGGGGATTGTGTGTGCATCCAAGGACTAAGATGTGTGGCATCTTAATGGTTTTTATCATTGATTTTATTCTTCATTGTTGAGAGAAGCGCTCAGATTTTTATAATTACATGAGATGCTAAATATAGTATTGGGTTGACCATTCATTGTTTGCTGATGGTACAAGGCACAGGTGTTAGACACTGGGAATACAAAGACAGAAATGAAACAGTTCTACTATGTAAAACATTACATAAATATAAAGTATAATAATATATTTATTTTAGCTGTTTTATAAAGCAGAGTTGGAAAGAACATTGAATCCAAATGGTACTTGAACAGTAATTACCCTCTAAAATATCTCTAACAAATGGGGGCAGCTAGGTAGCACAATGGACAGAGCACCAGCCCTGGAGTCAAGAGGAGCTGAGTTCAAATCTGGATTCAGACACATAACACTTATTAGCAGTGTGACTGTGGGCAAGTCACTTAACCTCAATTGCCTCACCAAAAAAATTTGTCTCTAACAAATGGTATCCAGCCTCTGCTTAGACATATCCAGTGATTAAAGAATAATAATGATAATCAAGTTTGCAAAGCATTTTACTTACACTGCTTACCTGTGCACCTTGTCTCCTGGGGGGGCCATTCTGTCCTGTAAACTGCTCAAACTTGAAGTGTAATGGCCCTACTTAAGATTATTAGGGAATAATAGCCATTGACAGGACAAACAAGTGTGAAGCAATGAGAGGTGGAATTCTATATCTATTAGTGGAGGTGGAGCCATCTTTGAGATGAAGAGGCCAGCCTTCAAACAGCTTGCCAACCATTGCTACCATAGTTTTTAAGGGGACATGTTACGGAAAGGCCTCTGCCCCTATAGTGTGGTCTCTTGAGCCACATGCTGTACAATAGTAGGGGACACTCTGTCAATTCGGAGGGGGCTACTCTTCCCCACCGTGTGTGTGTGTGTGTGTGTGTGTGTGTGTGTGTGTATAACATGCCTTTTTTTTTTTTTAAAGAACCCATGGGAACAACTTTATTGTGGAGAGGGAAGAATAGGCAGGGAGAAAGAAGAGGTCAGGGAAAAATCTTTATCTTTATCTTCAGAGGAGGCAAAACTTCCTGATCTCATCCTATTCTAGGACTCAGCTAGTTGAGAGAGGCCCCATATATATGTGTGTGTGTGTGTACACACGTGTGTATATACATACATGTACATATATGTATATGCACACATGTATATATGTATACATACATGCATGCATATATATACTTAGATTATATATATACACACATATATAAATGTATGTATATGTATACATGCATATAAACATAGATATGTTATAACAAAGTACTGTAGCCTTCAGTTTTGACATTTTACTATCATAGGAAAACTTAGCATTTATGAGTAATCGAACTGCTAAAATCATTGTTCATTTCAGCAACTATGTAATTGATAGCAAGTATAGGAGTTACAATTCCAAATGCAATTTTAGTTGATGAATGTGCTACTCCACTGATTGCATGCTGTTTCCTTTTTTGCTGCCCAGCTGCCCTCGAAGGCTTGTGTTCTGCGTCTGTTATTTATCACTATCCTGGTGGTACAGGGGGCAAAACTGGAGCTCGACGGCTGCAAGGTAGCTCCCTTCCTACTGATGCAGGCAACCGGCACCGACCAGGTAGGTCTAGTGCTTGTCCTTGCTTTGTAGTAATTCTCAGGCTTTGAGAGAGGCAGGATAGCATTTCATCCCCTCTTCCCTTTTTGAGTTGGACAGGATGCTGTGCTGAATTCCCGATTTGTTGAGTTAGCAGTCTTGCATGCAAGACAGAGTTTCTTTCAGCTCCACTTTAATGCCCTGTACAGACTGATTAGAATGCCTGGTTGAATTCTAGAATATTTGCATAAAATTTTATGGCAAGTGAGTCATAACCAAAGGTTTTGATACCAAGTCTTTTTCATCACTTCTAATTAGTAGATGAAAGTAAGCACAGAAAACTGTGAATCCAGAGCCACTGATAATGACGTTTAATTCAGGGCATGTTGGCTTTGTTTCTTCCCTGGTTGATCAAGTTCTTATTGCCTTAGAAAGTTTGAGTGAATTACTTTTGTAATGCTGCAGAAGAGTAAAAAAAAGCTTTTGCCGCTGTATAATATTAAACTAGTGAATTCTTAGTTTTCCTTTCAAAGAGGGAGGCAGCTCCTAATTAGTGCTTCAGGAAATAATTATATTGAAAGAATAGAACAGTTCTGTCATAAAGGTCTCATTCTTTTTGATGAGATGTCAAAGGCCAAGGCTTTATGTGCATCATATTAATATGTAGATTTATCAGTATTATGTACAAATATTGCCTCTCTCTCTCTCTCTCTCTCTCTCTTCTCTCTCTCTCTCTCTCCTCTCTCTCTCTCTCTCTCTTTCTCTCTCTCGCCCTTCTTGCCTCCCAAAAAAAATGTGAACAGTAGACTGGGAGTTAGGAGACGTGAACTCTAGTCCTGGATTTCCCCCTAGCTGTCTGAGTGACCTTGGTCAATTCACTTCTCTGGCTTCTAGTCTCTTCATTTGTAAAATTAGAGTGTTAGACTAAGGCCCCTTCTAGCTCACACATTGGTTGGAATGCCTTGAATTTCTCATTTGCCTTTTTCAACTTGTCCCCCAGCACCTAGCAAGGAATGTAGATAGAGGACTTTTGAGCTTTTGTGAACAAATTAGTGTTGTTTCAGTGGTCATAGTCAGTACATACCTTCCTTTAATCATTTGCATTTTATAGCTCTGTCAAATCTTCTTGAACCCGATTAGACTTCTTCAGCAGAGATTTCTTAGTGATCTTGGTTGAGTGCCACTTTCTTGAATGGAAGGGGAAGTTGACTGAGATGTCATTTATAAAATATGCACGTTTCAGAAGTGAATTACACCAGTTATTCTCCTCCTCTTTACTGATTTTCATGACATTGTGTACATTTTGTCCAAGTATTCACCACAGTTGCTTTTAGCTTACTATTATAATTGCTAATTTTGGTATGATATGATCGTATTTTAACTTTTCTTGTTATCTCAAGTCAAGTTCTAATTGCAAAATCCTCAAGAACCTTCAGAAAAATGAAAGTACTTCTTTAAAAATAAGTTTTTATTTCCTTCTTCTCCATTTCCAGAAGTGCCTTTCATCTGGAAGGATTTTGCTGGTCCTTTTGTCTGTTGATATGATTTGAAGAATTATCTTGTAAAAGCATGTTCCTGTGTTCATTTGATTTTTAGTTTCTCTAGAGAGACTCATTAGGAGGCAGTCTCTCTCTTCTTGTTGAATGTAGGCAAAGAGGTTTAAAAACCACCTTGTCTGCAGAGCGGAAATGTCTTTCTGTAGCTTTGCCTGGTGTGAAGAATCTGAGGAACTTTTTGCAGTTGAACACAGACTCGAGAGAAGCTCAGCCTGGAGGGTCCAAGGGAAAACTTAGAAAGCAAATCTTGTCTCATTCAGAGGCTTCATCATTATTGTAGTAACTCTTGAGGTTGCTTATCTCCCAAATCCATTAAATGGCTTGATAATATGAGCAGATCTTACCTTGGGTATTAATTTTAAGATCACATAGTTTGCAGAAATCCCAATTGTACATTTGGAATTTATTGCATTAACTCTGGAGTTGAGAGCAGTCAGGCTATTAGTTTAGCTCACTGCCTTGTCTGTGAGTGAAGGAATTTTGGCAATTACTAGAGTCAGCCACACAGTTGAAGGAAGTTAGCACAATAAAAACTTCTACCCTGGTAAGGCAACCTGTATTATGGCATTTGTGAATACTTTTAAGAATCATATCCAAATATCCACTTAAAATTCTGTAGTCTTTATTTCTTCTTTATACTATCATGTAACTGTCTTTGAAAGTGAAGTTGACTGAGCTTTCATTAAACTCTAGAGTTGATCTTTCATTAATCTGGACTTTGAAATAGAGCTTCCTGGTACATAAACTTAGAAATGATCAGGGAATAAACCTGTATTCATTTCATACTAAATTTGACTTTGCAGAATCACTTCTGAAGACAACTGAATTGTTGACATCCAGTGATGTCTCTTCTATGCTTTTTTCACTTTTACTCATTTCCTGCATTTTAACAGGTTTGCTGGGTAGAGTGATTTAGAAATAGCAGATATTTTAGATATTTGTATTTTAGTCAAATTTAGTCAAGTCTTTGGAGGAGATATCAGTGAAAACATGAGAATTAATAGCATCAAAGAGCGAAGTGTTGTGCGTTTTTGTTATTTAACCACACACAAAAAAATCCTAACTACTTTTAACTCTTTGCTCTGTTGCACTGCTGTACTTCTTTTTTTAAGAAGTGCATTTCAAGTTGACAGTGCAGAGCAGAAGGTGGATCACAGCTCAACCGTAACTAATGATTTTGATCATTATGTTTTTTCCCCGTGATGTTTGTTAATAAGAGAAATTTTAAAGACTCTCATTTGGTTTTGTGTGTTCCTTTAATGTGTGTGTGGGAAGACTCGTTAAATTAATGACTTTCCTCTTGAAAGAAAGCCAAAATCTATAATGTGTTTTTTTTTAATTGAAAATAAATATAAACTTTTCCCTTTGGTTTGTGTTTGGCTTTGCTCATTATAGAAAGGACAAATGGTCTTGTGGTGGTCTGTTTGGCCACACCTTGCACAGACTGTGATTAATAAAGAGCTTCATCTCAGAATATAGTAGATGGTGATACACATATACATATGTGCATTTACAGGTATATACATATGCACTTATTTAAGAAATTTAGGTGCATACATTTATCATTTGGTTAAGTCTTGATGAAACACTTGTTTTTTTTTTTTGTATTAAAAAGAGTACTTATACTGTAGGGTACATGAGAATTATTTTTGGATGATTCAGTAACTTTTTCCCCAGTGAGGGAAATATAATTTTGTTGTTCAAAATCCACAGTGTCATTTCAGTGATTTTCAGTCTTTCAAACTTTTAGTCCATTGACAGTTGCCATTTAATCTCCTAACTTTAGTCATATTTTAGCTATTTTCCAGGGGTAGAATTAGATTCCTCTTGTCATTTTAAGAAAGTTTATTTTTCTCTTGTTATATACTTATATTTTACTAAAGAAATAAATTAAGATTGCAATATTTTATATTACATGTACCAATTTTCCTTTCTTGTTAAAATAGGAGGATATTGGTGAAGGAAAATAACTATTTCTTTCCAAGTTACATGTCTATGTTGTCATAAATACTTTGGTAAATATTTGTAAGATGCTTAATCACAGCATCCTAGTGTTGGAAGAGGTTATCTAGACTAACTCCTAAAAAAAATCTTTACAGCACAAATGGAAATGACAGAATATACTTCTGCAAATATAGGGTTATTTTAGAGTCTCATAGTATTTTTAGTTGAATGGAAAGAGACCTTGATTTTAGGGAGTCTGCCTTATGTTCTAGTCCTGACCCTGTCATTTGCTATGGCAAGTGACACTTTTTCCTCTGGGCCTTGATTTATTTATCTGTACAAGGAAAAAAGGTTCTAGACTAAATATATAAAGAAGTTTCTAGTTCCAACATAGAGAGGTTTACCTTACAGCCACATCTTTTAGTATTTTTAGGCTTAGAATTGAAAACCAAAGGCTATTAACTATAATCTTTGGTTTGCTAACATTCTACCTTCTTCTCACCCCCATCTTATTTTTTGGATTCCTCATTGATCTTTCTCAATTACAAAAATTCAGTTTTATTGCATAATAACTTTTTAATTTTCAGCCATAGATGGTGCTGTTGTATCTGATTCTATACCTGCTTCCTTCTTAATATTTTAAATACTACTTTTCCAAGAGCTGGAAATTTTTTGTTTCTAAAGGTAGATGTGAAAAATGAGAAGATATATAAGTAACTTCCAGGTGATTTGCTTGTTTTCTTCTTCTAAATCTCATGTTTGCCTACCAGATGTGGAGGCGAAGAAAGTACCATTATAGTTATCTCCTAGGAGATAACTATAGGAAGTAACCACTTTGTTGTAGAAAGGTCTTAGGCATTAGAAGACTTGTAATCTATGTCTGGCCCTGATATGAACTAAATGAGTGACCACGGGCTGACAACTTTGCATTTTAGGGCCTACATTTTCTCTTCTACAAAGCAAAGAGTAGGGATTAGAACAGGCAGTAGGGATTAGAACAGGCTAAAGCCCCTTTTTGATCATAATAAATAGTCTTTAATTCTATGACTATCCTATTAATCTGTGTGAAATAATTCAGATATCATACCTTAAGAATAGCAGCAATAGAAGTTAGACTCTTCTATTGGAAACCTAATCGCTAGATTCACTCTAGCATTATTTAGCATATTGATAGATAGCGCCTTAATTTATATCTATGTCTTTAGGCTGCCGTTGAAATTTGAAAAGCATATTTGAGTCCTTTCTATCACAGAACCCATTAGTAATCTATTTTTGTATTCAGATATTGGAGTCATTGACTGCTATTATAGAATTACAATGGAAAAAATAGTTTTGTAGCAAAGTTCAGTTACGTAAGATATGAATCAGATATCTGTGGTGGAATGAACGTTATTACATCCAAGATTTAGAAGCAATATCAATGGCATTTTAAAGCTGCTTTTCTACCATTTTTCAAGCTACTGAATTTCTTGGTGATGAAGTAGTGTAAATAAGACACAACATTTCAAAGAAGAGTATTAGTCCATGACCCTTCAATAGCTCTGGCACTAGGGTGATAGAGTTAGCTTTGATCTTCTGAAGACAAAAAGAATCAGGGAGCTTTATTCTTTCTCTTGGCTTTGTAGAGTCAATGGAGATTGGAGTGGTGCTCAAGAACAATCTAAACGATCTCACAAGGAAGACTCCCCATCATCCCAATTATTTATATCACCAAATCCACATAGGTTGTTGAATATGGTGGAATGTGCCAGAGGATTTGATAATGTTCCTTAAGCATCTGATTGCTATTCCTGTTGTAGGACTTGGACTCCTATGACATTTCCCTGAGACTTTTATTCTTTTTCAAAATTTAGTCACCTTTCTATACTTCTCCCTCCAAAAAATAACTTCATATATATGGATGATCATGTAGCATAACATTTTTGTGGAGTTTGTATTGCCTTCCCACAAAGATCACCCCTCTAGTTTGCATGTTCACTAGAATTGAATGGACACTGCTTAGCTTCAAGACAGATATGACAGCATTGTTACAGATGGAAGTGTTGCTCATATCTTTGTGGCACCTCCAGAAATGACCCTTTTTCAATATTAAAATTGAGTTTAGCATTTACATGGCAGATTTATACCTACTGATTTCCAAATTCCAGCTGTGTTACTTAAATTTGGATCCACACTCAGTAAAGTGAAGAAGGCAGATTCCCTACAAACTTTAATTAGTTGATATGTGTCAGAGGCAGGTTCTAATATCTACATGTATGATGTCTGCGTGCATTATTAAGACCACTGTACTGCTGCAGTACATATGTATGTTAGAGCTTGCTTCTGTGCTGCATTATTAAGTTATTTTAGTTGCCCTCCCTGCTCTTTCCTCCTAGGCAGATCTTGATGCTCTTTATATTGTTGGTTGTGCAGAGGCATGTTACCCCAATACCAAACTTGAATGTTTTTAAATTTGATTGATTAGATGTTCATATTCATGTATGTGCCTAATAAAGTTAACTCACTTACTGGGTTCTTGATTATCTGGCAACCTGTGGAGAACATAGCTAGAGACCTTGAAGCCAAAAAAGGCCTTGAATAGCCAAAATGTATGTTCAGAAATCCATGTACTTTAATAAGTGCTAATGCACTTCACATGTAATTTGTTTATTCTTACTTTGTACGGAGTTTTAATGAGGTGGGTGATTTGAGTTTCAAACCTATAGTAGATTAAAAGCAGCAAATGAGAAGAGAAGAAATTGGTTTTAGCAGGCTCATCAACAGCAGTAGGAAGTGATTTCTGACAGCAAGGGAAAAGACAAATTCCAGAACTGCAGACAAAAGAACTAAAAAAGAAGTACTGTTATCTGGGATTAGTTAGTGCTGGGCAAATGTCCTTATCAAAAGCCTTCTGAGTCATCATTTTGTTGTGGCCCTGCATAATAGCTTATGAGAGGCATCATGGCATAGCAGACAGAGAGTTGGCCTTAGAATTAGGAAGACCTGGCTTCAGTTTTCACTGCTGATACATACTTGGTAGGGTTACCCTGGGTAAGTCATTTAACCTTGTTGTCCCAGGCATTTGGCTAAGGCTCTAAGTGGCAGAGTAGTAGGTGCCACTAGGTATTAGCAGAAGTTTCCTTAGCTGGAGTTCCTTTCACTGATTAAATCACAGGTTTGTTGGAAAATCAAAATGATAATTTATAGTCATTCATTTTCTTAATGATCATAATCATCAAAAAAAGATTATTATATTGTCTGCTCTGCCTTGAAAGGCAAGAGGCAGTAAGTTTTTAATACAATAAAAAATAATATCAAAGGGTAAAACTAAAAAAAATTTTTTGATGCTTGAAGTGGTAAGTCCCTCAGTCATCTGGAAAATGTGATAATCTGTAGTAATTCATTCCCTCAAGATTTTACTGTATAGAAAGGAGAAGAATAACTGTATCTGTTAGATTAGACGTTTAGAAGATATATACTGTGTCAACTTGATTTTAGTTTTGCATCTCAAAAAATGTACATGAGACATCAATTAAGTAAAAACATCAGTCATAATGAAAATATTGCATAGGAATAATTGATCAAATAACACATAGGAGTAGAACATTCTCTTTTGTACCTTATTAGTATGTTTATCCTTTTTTTTTGGTAATTGATAATGAATTTGAATCTTGAAGATAGTACCTTTTGCTTTTGTATTTTTTGTTATGATGGAGAAATTAATTTCTGCAGTATGGCCTTAGTAGATATCCATATTTGGACAGTTTGAGGAAGGCTTGATATTTTTTTAAAAAAGCTTTTGATAACAAAATGAAGGGGTCTTTTTTGGATACTTTAATTGTTTTTCCATGGGTTTCCTCTGAAACTGAGAAGTCCTTATCATGAGTTAAACACATAGTAACTCTCTATTACCTGCTATTTATAAATTGCTATTTTAATGGCAGCATCTTCAATTTTAAAAGATAAACTTAACTGTGCTATAGTAATTTATTTAACAGTAGTTTTCTTGTCAAAATGAAAGGTCATGATCTGTTCTTTCTTCCAGGGGCACAAGAAGTTCTCATTGATCCAGGTACACGCTATCTCTATGCTTGGTTTTTGTTGTTTCAGTTTTTTAAAGTGCTTGTTTTATGGTGCTGTGAATTGTTAATGTTTCTGGATTGTGAGTTATTGTGATCTTGGAAGGGGGTTAATGTAGGTGTTTTTAAAGTGGGAAAATTAAAAATCAGATTTTTCTTTCTTCTGTTTTGGCGAGGCATCATAGTTGTTTCCTCAGTTTGTTAAAGAAGAAAGATTTATTCCATAGATGCATTAAGTATGTGATTTGAGACTTAAAGCTTAATTCATTTTGTTTTTTGCATGAAGCATGTTGATAGGCCAATTATTTTCTTTTAAAAAATTTATAAAAATGTTAATGTCAGGCCATATACAACTAATTAAACTTGTTTAGTAACTATTTACATTAATTTTAGCATATAAAATGTTTTTTTAAAAAAATTTTTAGTCACTCTAATTCTCCTTTAACATTCTTCATTTGTCTATTCATTCTCATTCACTTTTCCTCTTATATGATCTTAGCATGCATTCTCTTCAGATTGGGCTGATTCATTTTCAGTTCAATGATTTATTTTCAGTTCAATCACAAGAAATATTTTAATTTGCAAGACTGGGAGGTATAGGGAAGGGAAAGGAGCAAGTATTTATTAAATGCTTACTTTGTGTCAGACACTGTGCTAAGTGCTTTACAAATATTATCTCATTTGATCCTCACAGAAGCCCTGGGGGGGAGTTGCTATTATTATCCCCATTTTACAGGTGATAAAACTGAGGGAGACAGATTAAATGACTTGCCCAAGGTTATACAAGCTAGTCAGTATTGGTCAAATTTGAACTCATGTTTTCCGGATCCCAGTACTGGAATGCTGAACTTTAACACAAGAGATACGTTCTACTTGGCCACTTATTAGTTTTGTGACCAGGACAATTCATTTTATTTTACTTAAAAAATCATTTATAATAGACTTGATATTAAGTATCAGTATTATCAAACTTGCTTTGCAACATTTACACTTAGACAAATAAATTTCAAAGAGTAAAAGTTGAGACATTTTTCACTTCCTCTAAGTCTCCTTCAGGTTTATGTGTCCATTTATTACCATCTGTTATTAATTTTTAATCGCTCTCTTTTGTTAGTATCCTTATCTGTAAAATAAAGTGGTATCTTTAGGGCTGTTATGAGGATCAAGTTAGTGAGATAATGTATGTTAAGTGCTATGTTATTTAATTTTCTTTTTTTGAGCTCTATGCTATTTTAACCTGAAAAAGTGACTCTTGAAATGATGGTTTCATCCTTGGAACTTTGAAGATTATGATGTTGTTTCTGGTATTTTATAAGCCACTTCGTGATAGAATTTTGAATTTACCATTGCAAATCCACATAATACTTCCATATAAATGCATTGTTCACAGGGAAAAATTTTTTTTCTTTTTTTGAGGTAGTTGTCATTTTTGTCACTGATTTTTTTTCTTCTTTATATGGCAAAGTGGAAGTAAAATTGGATTAGGAGCTACAAGACCTCGCTGCTATGTGACTTTGGGAAATTCACTAAACCTCTCTGAGCCTTATTGATTTTCAAAAGACAGAAGTTGATTGTGTCTAAGGTCCCTTTCAGCTCATATGTTAAAGATTTTAAAAATTGTTCCTGAGTGAATATAACTATCATTTTTTTTAAATTGAAGAACTGGCTTAATTTAAGAAAATGATAAAGAGGAAAAAATCAGTTTTAAAAAGGGGAACCAATGAAGACTTTGTTTGAAAGCAGTCCCCTATTTAGCCATAAAAATGTAGACTTTTTGTTTAACTCAGAGTTTGAATTCAACTTAGCCTAGGTCTTGTCTTTGAAGATGAAATGTTTTAGGAATGCAGCTAGGATAGTGATTTGTTTTAATACCAATGTTGAATCATTTCATTCAGGCAAATGGTTCAGTTTATAGGGTATAGTTGGAGTTTGGAGGTAAGGGACAGAGTAGGAGAGAGAGAGTACCCCTTTCTGAGAGCTCTTTCACAAGCAAATAGGTATCTGTTCTAGAGCTACTCAGTTGGAGCATTCTCTTATTGAAAAATTAAATGACCTTTTAGCCAAGAAAACAGTGATAATAATGAGTTGTTGGTTACATCAGTATATGACCAAAATAAGTCTTTTAGCCCTTATCTGATCAACACAGTCTATAGTAATCTCTTCTTTCTCTGAGCTGTTGTCATATTCAGTGTCTCCCCTACTTCTTTGGTCCCTAGACTATGCTATCTTGTATTGTTATTTATCCTTTTATGTCTGTAGTCTGTTTCTATAGCTAGATTGGGAACTCCCTGAGGATAGATGTTTTCTTAGTCTTCCTATACCATTTAACTGCTTATAATTATGCTTTAGATATACTAGGTACTTAATTTATATGTGTATATATACATTATATACACAGACATGTACATTTATACATTGACTAATATGTGAGTTAAAAATGCCTATAAAATATGATGGAATTAAATAATGATTATAAAACATTTTCTTTGGTTCTGTATATTATTGCTCTGTTTAATCTTTTTAAATTAAATATTTATTTTTTCCAATTATCAAGGTTTTATTTTCATTCCCTACCACCTCCCCCACTACTGAAAAAAAAATAGGAAAACAGAACCCTTATAACAAGTGTGTATAGTCAAGTAAAAGACATTTTTCTATTGTCCATACCCTTACAGATGTGTCTCATTCTGCACATTTTGTTCATCACCTTTGTGTTTGGAGGCAGGTGGCATTCTTCATCTTCAGTCGTTTGGAAATCATAGTAGATTGTTTCATTTGATCAGAATTCTTAAGTCTTTCAAAGCTGTTCACTTTTATAGTGTTGTTAGTGTATAAGTTGTTCTTCTGGTTCTGTTCACTTTTCTCAGTATTACTTCATCCAAATCTTCCCAGATCTCTATGAAACTGTTCCTTTGTTGTTGCACAGTAGCATTCCATTCCATTCACATATCACAAAAAAAAAGATGCTCTAAATAATTTTGTGTGCATAAGATCTTTTCTTTTTTCTTTAATCTCTTTGGGGATATATAGGCTAAGTAGTGGTATCATTGGATTGATTTGTGTTTTAATAGACGGGAAGAGAACTGATTTAGTAAATCAGCAAGTATTTATTAAACACCTACCATGTATCAGGCAAACATAGCATGGGGATTTAGACCAAAAAGAAAGAAAGAAACAATATCTACCCTCAAGGAGCTCACAATTTATTGAGGGAGACAACAATAAGTATGTATAAGTACATACAAAATAAAGACAAAGTAATTTTTTTTGAAGGGGATTATTAGCCCCTGGGGAGATGAGGAAGAGTTTTATATGTAGTTGATGTCTCTTAAACACTCTTGAGGGAAAGAGGGATTCCTAGAGGCAGATGTGAGGCGAGAATGTGTTGTAGGTATGGTGGACAGCCAGTGCAAGTATGTAGAAATAGGAGATAAAAGTGTCACCATCACGTGTGAAGAATCACAAAAAAGGCAGTTTGATTGCACTTCAGAATGCAGAAAAGGAAATGGAATAGAATTGTATTTTAAAATGTACATTGTGGGTTTTAAAGGCTAAATAGAGGAGTTTATATTTGATCCTAGAAATAATATGAATCCATCAGAATTTGAATAAGCAAGTTATATGGTCAGATCTGTTTAGGAAAATCTCTTTGGTGTATGTGTGAGGGATGGATTGAAGAGGGGAGAGGCTTGGGGAAAGGAGACCAATTTGGAGGCTATTCTAGCAGTCTGCTTGAGAGATGATGAGGGCTGGATCTAAGAGGAAGCTTGTATAAGTTGGGAGGAGAGGATGGATGTAAGCAAGATTGTGGAGGTAGAAACTATAGTATTTGACAACTGGATTGGCTGTGTGGGTTGAGGGAGATTGAGGAATTGGAGATAATGATAAACTTATGAATGTGGGTGATGGGAAAGAGATAATGGTATTCTCAAAAGAAATAGGGAAGTTCAAAAGTTAGGTGGGATTTTTCTTTGGGGGGAGGGGATAGTTCATCTTTGACCGTCTTAAACTTGAAATAACTAAGGGACATAGAGTTTGAAACATCTAATAGTCAGTTGTAGGCGCAGAATTGGAGCTCAGGAGAGAGACTATGGCCAGATACATAGATATGGGAATCATTTGCATGGGTGTTATGATGAAACCTATGGGAGCTGATGAGGTCACTAAGTGAAAGAAGAGGACCCAGGACCGAGTTTTGAGTTACATCTGTAGTTAAATGGCATTATATGAGTCAGCAAAAGAGAATAAGGAAGGCAGAGTAAAAGCAGTGACTTGCTTGAACTCTCCCCACCCCCCTCCAAATACCTGTAAAAAACAACTCTAAACAAATTCTAGAGCAGCAGAACCCACAAAAAGACAGAGTGAAACAAATTTCTAGCCCAAGACTACCTAGATGATTGATAGGAAAAGTCTCTTGCACTGGGCTGGAAGAGGCACACAGTTTAGTGTGGGCCACACAGGTGAAGACAGAGCAGGGCGCAGGAGTCTGAATCATGGATAACTGAGCTAGTTTCCAGACTTCTCAACCCACTAACACTAAAGACAACTCAGTAGGAAAGGTCCGTCGGACTGGGGTGAGAGAGAAGTGTGGTCCAGTCCTGGCCCTAGCGTAGGCCTGGGATGGCAGCCACAGCAGCAGCGGCATTGGCTGCTTCTGGAGCTCTCGGCCCACAAGCAGTGGGGGGATCGAGTGGCTGATCTGAGGGGGATTGCAGACATCTCTTTGCTGGCTCTGAGGCAGGATTCTCTTGCTTTGCCTGTGCTTGGATCTGAGTGACAGTCCTGGAATGAGGAGGAGCACTGGAGAAGTAGAGCTTGTGGCAGTGGTAGAGAGAAAATCCTCCTCACAGTTCTAAGGCAGAAAAGAGTGCTTGCGGTCACTCGTAGACCAGAGCACAGGCCAGGAAAAGAGTAAACACCTCTTCTTTGATCATACCATCTTGGAAGAGCTAAAAATTTACAGGTCCCTGGAAGTATCTCTGAAAACAACTGC